CCCCGAGCAACTGCAGTATAGTCCTCCCTGGTGATGGCCCCTCCCTTCCATTGGGTGTGCGCCTCCCTTTTAGCTAGAAGACATTCCCGGATGCTTTTGGTGAGCCATGGGGGCTTTTGTGCCCTCCTGCCCCCTTTGATCCGTACCTCGATACAGTGCTTATTCTAAGTATATAGTTACAGAACCATATTGGTTGAACAGCATATAACCTGCACACTGTGTATAAGTATTCTATTAGACCCAGGTTTGCTTATTGTCCCAAGCACAGGAATAGAAGCTGGGGGCTCCTTTGTTTTAATTCTGCTTTGGTTACTTCTTCTAGTTGTGGCCTTGGGCAAATCATTTAATTTCTCTGCATCTCAGGCTCCATCTAGATGATAATACTGATGTTGACCCAATTTACAGGGTGTTGTAAGAGTTAATTTGCTAATGTGTGCAAATCTCTTTGAATCTAAAAGCACAATATAACATTCTGAGAATATTACAAACGTATAAATTAATTCAAAACTAAACTTTTTATTATATGTGCATACAGCAAAGGAAGAAAGGGCTCTAATCCCTTAGGTGGGAATCTAAGCTCCAATATAGTACAGTACAAATAGTTAGTTTATAAGCAATTTTATTTTCCAAATTCTCCACCTTCTGGCTTGTCTGCTGAACTCTTCTTTTTAATTATACATTGATTATACATATAACAGCTTGCTATGCTTTGCAGTTCCATTTCCTAATGACTTTGAATCCATTTAGAAGTTCAGTTAGAAAAAGGGTTAACAAGACTGGTAGAAGGATAAGTTTAGTAGTATTAATGGTATGTATAATACCAAATCACTCTGGGAAGTGAATGATTTCATAACTCCTGGCAGGAATGTGGAAAATCCACATAGCTTGACACTTGTCTGAAGTTTCAGATTCATCCCACACAGACAGCACATAGTGAGACTTACACGGCTGGTGCCCTCTGAATGGGTTCAAAATTAAAAGGTGTATCAGGCGAATTCAGAAACTGACTGCGGCCATCGGGAGCTGTTGCTGACAAGGGGGCACAGAATCAGGACAGCTGCTAAGTTTTCGAGTTTAATCATCAGTGAAGAGCAAGGTGGCTGTGCACTTAGGATATTCAGCAACCTATTTTTTCAAAGAGGTCATCACGTTTTCTCCTCCATAACTTCAATGGGGAAAGAGAATGAAGGAGACTCAAAGTAGTCCACGTATTTCCCCTGAACAAAGACTTTCACTTTTAAAGAATTTAGCATTAAGTAAGAGACCCCTTATGAAAACCCAGCTGGTAAGGATATTTTGATTTCACTTTGACATGAAAGTCTCTCTCAGGAAAACTCACTTCTGCAGTCTGAAGAAGGGTGTTTGTACCCGAAAGCTTGCAAAGAAGAATTTTTCCAACTATTTTAGTTGGTCTATTAAAAGATATTGGATTTACCCAAAGAATCTTGTCAGGAAAAACTGAGCATTTGTTGAATTTGTGTCTCCATTTGCTGGAATCTGCAGGAGGTAATATATCCGGAGGAATATCTTGATGGTGTTTACTGCAGGTTTTAAGTGATTAAAGCTTAATTTATGGATTCTTGGAAGGTAGCAATGACAATTCCACAGAATTAGAAAGTGTTATTTGAATAAATGCTGGGA